GCAAATATGGATTTTAGAGAGAGGGAGATGAGGGGAAGAATTGGTGGTAGGAGGAGAAATATCCACATGGGTTATTAGGCTTCTTGTTCTATCATTGTACGATTCCTAGAGGAGAGAGGGTGGTGAAGGAAGGTTGGGGAGATGGGTGAGGAAGGTTTGGGGGGGAGGGGGTGGATCCCACAGTTTTATATAAGAATATATAAAAGATTTTATTTTTAATTTTTTGATATTTAATTATTTTTAGAGAAAATATTTAATTATTTTTTAATTCAGTTGGGTTAGGGAGTGGACCCTGCCTCAAGCCACATCAGCACTTAACAAAGAAGTTAACAGAAAAAATGATGGAGGTCTGAAATTGCAACAAATTTGTAAGATGAGGTATGACATTGTAATCTTAAAAGATGAGGTATGACATTATAATCTTTAAAAGATGAGGTATGAGATTGTGGTTAGATCCAAAGTTGAGGTAATTTTGTGTAATTTACTCTAAAAATTTTGGACTTTAATCCAAGAGTTAAAGTGGTCTTACCGTCTTCCCCAACCCGTCTCTACCACTTCCTCATCACATCAGTCGCCATGGCTCACTTGTCACCGCCAGCACCAGGATTCCTATGAACTGGATTTTAGTGGGAACCTCAGTCCCCATCTTTCTCACCTCCGCCATGATTTCCTCACTCACAGCCCACTCCTTAAAACTCATTCTTCCTATTCTCCAACTTGTCCAACCCCTCATCGCTTAGTCTCTGGGTTGCCCAATTAAATTGGTGCGGGTCTTGTTTTGGGCTTTCGTAGAGCTTTTGAGGTGCATAAGCCTTAGCCTCTTGAGAAGCAATGAGTGCTACAGGGGTTGGGTATCTTCGTCTTGAATTCAGTCGTACCGGCGGGTCTGGCGATGGCTATTATGGCTGTGGCAATGCAAAGAGGCCTAAACCTAAAACTTAGTAGGTTTTGGCAGTCTTAGAGACGGGTTGGGGAAAATGGTAGAGACTAGAGAGGTTGGTGAGCAGTTATATCATTTTTTCCTTTTTGTTAAGTTTAGATTATTATAAGGGTAACGAGGGAAGAAAATAATTTCTATTTTCAAAACATTAAACTTTTGGTTTTAAGTATAAGTAGAGTCCACGTGTCAAAAGTTAAGTGGGAAAGGCAAAAGGAGAAGGTAAATGGAGAAGGCAATTAGCATGTCCATTTTTTAAAAAATTTCGTAAGAAAACAAACTTTATATTAACCAACTTGAAACAATTACAGACCATATGTGGATGCTGAAATGAACATCCTCTAAAAACTTAGCACACCATACTAAAAAAAAAATTGCGTCCACCAACCCAATGGAGAGCTTGTATTTAAATAGTACTTTCCATGCGTACACTCACAGCCCATTGCCGAGCCTGCATGTCAGAAACTTTGTACGAAATGGGGAAAGATTCATGTTGGAAAAAGGTGGTTTATACCACCCTTTTGCCCTCCCCCTCTTTTTGTTACGTTTGGTGACTTTCTTTGTAGGGTGGCTGTGGATGTGGTTCTTGGTAGATTGATCTTGTTGAACACTCTCGGATCTAATTTTTTGTCTGGGGTGATGGCTTCCCTCAGGGACAAGGCGACTGAGGCTGTGAATTAGTTTTTGCGGCTTCAGTTTAGGTTTTTTTGTTGTTGTTTGTCTTTGCTGCCTACGGGCTTAAGTGACACACCCTGACCAAGATCGAGATATGCTGGCCGTCACGTGAGGATGACGTAGTTATGTACACAGTGCGGAAGTAATAGAGATATAAGGAATTACGAATAAACAAAAACCAAATCAACTAGAGTACTAGATAGGATAAGGTGCAAGTGTGAGATTAAGTGTGAAATACACATCCAGAGCATAAATAGCCTAAGTGCAATCAAGCAGGACAAGTACTAATTATACAACCCCCAAGGGTGTTCCTACGTTTATGATGTTCTGTCAGAACCACCGTCGAAATCCCCGTGAGCCACCAGAGCACTTCTACCTAAAACCTGGAGGGGCGCAAAACAAAAAGTGTGAGTGGGCAAAAACAAAGCTTTTCAAAATCATTTCATTTTTCAAAAGTTCTAACTCCTCGCCGTAAAACCTATATAATTTCCCAGAAAAATGATAATATATGCTATATCAAAAATCATGCTTAGGATGAAAATCCATAGAAATATACCATGCCAAAGTATCTCAATAAAATGCTATAAGTAATCCAGTTAAAATATATCAATGCCAGATATCATACCAGCCGAATCCCCCTAAATTAATCTGCACGACTGAGTCTATAGCTCATAATCAATCTCAATCATATCAAATCCTGTACACGAGTCAAAACCACCTAAAGTGGTCTATACGACAAGACTAGGTGTAAAATAAATATGCTATAGTGCTACGATCATGTGAAGACTGTGCAAATGATCGCGGGTGACCTATGAGTCGGAATCACCTAAAGTGGTATGTACGACAAGCATGTGCACCTAACTTGGATCCAAGGTGAGCATATGGTGCGGGAGGTGAACATCATGTGAATGGTTGTGCCCTAACTTTGGGTGGGAGCACTAACACCGGGGTGCAGGTTTATGAGCTCTCAATGCATCACATCATCTCTCGCATAACTAAAGCAATCTCATATCTTTAATTTATGAACTTACCTGGCGATTACCTGTGCGTCCACAACACCAATCATAAATATATGCAACTACTAATGCATAAATAAAATAGGCAGATACTTTGCATGGCATTTCAAAACGTATAATCATTCAAATTCATTTTCTAGAAAAAAAATCTCAAGTATATAGGTCTATACGGAAAACCAAAAGCCCACTCACTGATATGTCAAAGGATCGTAGGCCCCGAGCCTCGATTGATGGCGCTCATCCTCAAGATAGGTCTCACCTATATGCGAAATAACTAAATAAACGTTATTCAAAGCACATATACAAAACTAGGAAATAACTTCTCATACATTGCTCAAATGAGGTATTTGAATATACCACCATGACCTACTCAACCTTAGGAACATCCCTATATTTTTAGAAAAAATTTCTGACCACCCACGCGCCCTGGCCAAGGCACGGCCAGAAGTGCTGCTCAAGCGCAGGTACTTGCCTGGCACACCAAACGGATTCCCTAACGGTGTTAGGGAATATTCCGTTAAATATAAGCATATACCGTTAATTATACCTGACGTCGTTAATTGCCGTTAGGAATATTCCGTCAAAGTTGACGGAATATTCGTCTTCTTCTCCGGCGAGTCATTGGATTCCGTCGTCGTCGCTGGAAACTGAGAAAAAAATTTCTAAACTTCATATCTTCTTCATTTCTCAACCAAAATTCATGAAACTTAAACCAAAATGAAGCTTGGGACAAAAGGAACAAGTTCTTACCACTTAAGAGTCCTAAAACCCACGGGAAGTCGTTGGAAAACCCTTCGATATTCCGATCACTCCTGCAACTCTCCAAACCCAAGCTTCCCGACGTCTAAATCACTCCAAAGTTACTCCCCGAGCTTCGTGAAGATGTTTTAAGGCTTCCTATGACCTTAAAACTCGCTGAAAGGTCCACATTTACGACTGCATGAACAATGCTCATGATCGGGGTTCTCTGGTTCTTGGATTTTCGAAGGTTTCACGTCCAACAAATGGCATGGATGCTAGACTTGCAAGGAACACAAAGACCACTTCCCCAGCTTCGATCCGTGACTGGAAGTGAAGGTTTGAAGTTTGTCCGTACAATTGTACTGAAATGGAAAGAAGTCCAACAGAGGGAAGAGAGAGAGAGTCAACTGGGTGTGTGTGTGTGGTCCTAGTTTGGGCTACCAACCAAAACAAACAAAAGCTTAAGTTCTAATTGGGTCCAAAAACTTAGGAACTTAACATATTGGTCTACCTCTAAAAGCATGTCACACACAACACACCTCAACGTTCAAGGGAAAAATAGACATTTCACACTGACGACAAAATAATTCAGGACGGGCTGTGACATTAAGTTTGTGTGGGCCTTCCGTTATATCTTGAGTTGTAGCTCTCCTTTTGCTTGGGCCTTTTTACTCTTTTATCTCACTTTGTTTTGTATGGATTTGGACGATCTATAACATTTGTAATTTTCCCTTTATCTTTGATGAAGTTTGTTTCCTGACCTAGAAAACAAAGGTAAGATTTTGCTATCTCATTAGTAGTTGGTATGCATTAAAAACTTGGCCTCTTTCTTTTAAAAATATGCGTGATACATCTTCTGAAAAATAATGGATAGTGATTTCAATATACCATTTTTTTATCTTGTGCACACTTTATTAATTACTTTAATTTTCCAATAATGCTCAGGAAACTAGAAGAGTGTGTATGAGGTAAGAAATAGTGTGAAAATTATTTTCCAAAATAAATAGTAGTTGCTGGAGGGTGGGGAAGAGAATACAGTTTTTGGGAACAATATACAAGGTCTAGATGGTGGACTGGTGGTATGTAGGGGTGGAATTTTTTCCCGAAAATCCCGAACCGTCCCGATCCCGTCCCGAAATTAGCCCGAAAAATTCCCGAACCGAATTTCCCGAAACATTCGGTACCCGAAACCGATCCCGACCCGAAAGTTTCGGTTTGGGATTCGGCCACAGCTTTGAAAGCTTTCGGGAATCCCGAACCGAACCGAATATTATATATATATATATATTTATTTATTTTTAATTTTTAATTAGAAATTACTTGAACCGTTGGATTTGTTAAAATCTAATCCAACCGTCCATAGTTAGGTCATTTGTTTGTTAGGTTATTAGACTCTCTCAGCCGCTCTCGCTCTCTCACCTCACTGGCTCACTCACACACACTCTTACACTCTCACAGTCACTCTCACAGTCCCCCCGCTCCACTCCTCCGTCGAATCCACGCCGCTCCTCATCGTCCATCACTCCATTGACTCACACCGCTCCACTCCTCCGTCGAATCCATGCCGGTCCTCGTCGTCCATTGACTCACGCGCTTCTCCTAATATCCCAATTTGTATCAAATACGCCTGCTTAGTTTGACCAATGTTCTGTGTATGCATTCCAGGCACTTCCAACCATTAAAAAGGAAATTATTGAAGTATTGGATATACTGCTAAGGTGGTTTGTTTTACAATTTTGTAAATCGAACACAACATGCCTGTTAAAGGTATGGTCTATTTATTTTCGTTCAGTCTTCTTTCCTTGCTTTTTAAGTGCTACGGTTTTCTAGGTGTGTTATCCTGATTCCTAACCACATATGTTCTGATTTACAGGTGTTGGAATTTCTTCCAGAACTTTTTGATACATTTAGGGATGAGGCATACATGTTGACTGAATCAGAATCAGCTATATTTTTTCCATGCTTGATAGAGAAGGTTTCTATTTTAATTGCCAGACTTTGGCAGCAAATATTTTTCTCTTGTAATGTGTTTACTTTACCTATGTGCAGGCCGGTTGCTGTAAGCCATCAGATGATTGTGGATTTACTTACGAAAGCCCCATCTCCTGGACCAGCAACGTTACTACCGTTTCCTCCAACCCTGACTGCAGTGCGTGGCAGAATGATGAGAAGGTTCTGTGCTTCAACTGTCAGTCGTGCAAGGCTGGACTGCTGGACAACATAAAAAGTAATTGGAAGAAGACGACGATTGTCAACATTGTCTTCCTCATCTTCCTGATTGTGGTGTATTCAGTTGGATGCTGCGCGTTTGTAAAAAGTTATAAAAGCCCAACATTTTGGGCTTCAAGGCCCAATCCCGAAGTTTCCCGAAAATCCCGAAACACTTTCGGGAATCCCGAATTTCGGGATCCCAATAGTTTTGGTTCGGTTTCGGGATATAAAATCCCATCCCGAAATGTTTTGGTTTGGGAATCGGGTTCGGGGTTTCGGTTCGGGATCCCGACCCGAACCAGCCCTAGTGGTATGAGACTGTTTTTGGTGACTCCCCTAACCCAAGATAATCATTATTTTTCCCTTAAAAACGTGTCACGTCGTCTATATAACTGGCCAATGGCCATGACTTAAATGCATTTAATTAAATTCTTATGAAAAGAATAACAATTAAGAAACTTACCATTCATTCCTTCAAAAATATAAGAACACTATTTCACGTCTATGAGAACGACGAAACCTTTCGCCCCTTTCCCTCCCCAGAAAACCCCAAATCGCAATCGCCATAGCCGCCGGCTTCTTGCCATGGCTTGGGGTCGGTGGCAGTCCATCTTATCTCCCTCTAGCTTCTCTTTCCGTCCTCCTTTAGCCTTCGTTCTCCTCCTATTCACTCCGCTGCCCCATTTCCCCATCTTTCAGCATTCAATAGGTTTTCATTTCTCCTTCCCCGTTCTTCTCTCCCACCATTTTGTGTATAGCTGTCCCATGGCTTCGCGTCTCCTATCCAGATTCTTAAGGTCCCTTTCTTGATTTGGGATTGATTCAGGATTAGGTTTGGTTTGGGTCTGTTGGTGGGTTAGAGCCATTTCCGTTTTTCTGATTCAGAGTAATGATACGCTCATCGACTAGGTGCCACCTTCTGCACCCAAATCTGTTGCACAGCCACTTGCGCCGAGCAAACGTTGTGTTGCACTATGTAAATGGCCATTGCTTCCGATTAATTCTTATGAAAATTAAAAAATGGCCAGACTTGCTTAGACGTCCGCTTAGACGGTCTAAGCGCCCATCTAGCCGTCAGACCAGTCTAGGCATTGTTTAGGTCGCAATTTTTATTTTGACAGAAAATTGATAACTTTCATTTTGCTTTCATTTATTTTTTTAATAAATTGTAAGAGACTTGTTGAGTACTATGTATACACATTATATGCTTATTTCCTATGTTTTTATTATGTTCTAATACTTTATAATTTATATATCATTCTATTTTTCAATTTATATCGTTCAATGTAATTACGTATTTTTAAGTATAAGTAGATACTTATTTATATGATATATAATAAATTTACTTAAATCCATCTAATCCGCTTAGGAGATAGGCCTCAACGTGTCGCCCGACTAGCGCCTAGCATCTTTTAGAACCTTGGTTTGGTTTAGTTTGGTTTAGCTTAAGTTAGTTCTGCTATCTTGCATAGCGAGTGTTGTGGCCGTGCTGCAACGAGGGATGTATATGATTTTTCGCATTGAGCGATATGTTATGTGGTTTCATCTGCCTACAATGATTTTATATGTTCTCACTTCTGCGATGACTTTATGTACCTTTGCTATTCGACGGTGACCTTTTGTAGTTGTCAATACAAGCCTATTATATCTATTATTTTGTGACAGTTTTGTATGGATGGCGTGTAAAAAATATATCCGGTCAACTGAACAGTCGGTTGAATTATTATCGTCTTTCTCTTCCTCTTTCTCAGCTACAGCAAAAGTTAGTTTTTTTCTCCTAGTATTCGATCAGTTATTATTTTTCTTCCTATCTGTTGGTGTCGCAGTTGGGTTGATGCAATGGCATCAATCTCTTGCTTTAAATTTTGGACGCACAAGTTTCATCATTCAATTTCTTTATTTTTTCTCTGCTAATTAGTTCTCATTTTTCTTCCCTCTGTTGGTGTAGAAGGAGATTTATTCTCTTAGAAAAATGTTGGAGTAGTACTATAGCCGAGAAGAGAGCTCCACGGTGTAATAAAGTAAAGTAAGAGGAGTATATAAGTCAGGCTACTTGTGGAAATGGATTGAGACATTTTGTCGAACAATTAGAAAGTAAATTTGAAGGCAGAATCAAAACTCCAAGGGGTTGAGTGTGTGTTTCCACCTTTCTCGAACTCAAAATGCTCTTCATCGGGCAGTTTTGTTGGGTTGAAATTTGGAACCCTATGTTTGTTTAACATCAGAGTTGTTGTAAGGTTACAACGATTGTGGGTCGGCTGTTCTAACAACTTATGCTAATATTATTGTGTTCCCTCTGTGGTTGTTTGTTATGAGATCTTGTGTCTTGGTGTGTTGTGGATGGTGATTATTTTCTGTCAAAATGGCACACTCTAAACCGCCCATTCATGAGGAATTTGTGGACTCTCTCCCTTAACTTTGAGGATAGTCTGATTTGGAGGAAAGACTTGTCCAATCAGTTCATCTGGGGGGTCTCTTTGTTACGGATCAGGAGCCATCCCAGATTGTTGTGAAAGAGGTGCTATGAAACTTGTGATGGAAGATGGGCAACATTAAGGTATCTCGTGCGAAAGTCAATGTGTATTCCATCGAAGTGGGTGACAAGAAAGTGGCGAGAAAATTACTCGAGGGCAACCCATGGTTCATCAAAAGCGCCCCCTTCACTGTTAAATTGCGGCCATTGTATCAGTCGCTGGACGAAATCTTCGAATGGTGTTTTCGTACAAGCTGCTTCATTCGTTTTCCAGGAAGTCTTATCCCCTGTGCAAATCAAAGCTTTAACAGCCAGAGTTCGTCTCGAGTTGGTGATAGAAAGGGATGTTCAAAACATCGTTTTTTGAAATTGATTCGCTTCAAGTCATCTCCGCATTGAATTCTTCCTCTGCTAATTTGTCTGCTATCAGGCCAATCATTGAGGACGCAAAGATCTTTATGCATATGACCGCTGAAGTTTCTGCTGACCATGTTCGCCAGCATGCCAACTCTGTAGCTCATAGGATAGCTAGCAGACACGGCAGTTTTTGACACAATAGGAAAATAATGGATTCTCAACGGGTATATATGCGAGTAACACGTGGGTAACCCGTTAAGAAAAAAATTATTTTGATAATTTTAAAGTTTATTTACTAAAAGATTTATAATAAAACACAATAGCCATATTAATATATATTCTATATTAAATATATAGTTTTGTATTATTATTCTATATAAGTTAAAAAAAAATAGTCATTGTTTATTTTTATTATAAGAGTTCCTTATTATCATTACTAAGATAAATTTTACTTAACATGTTGTTGTGCAAAATTAAAATAACGTTTTTTATTTGAGGGCAAAATTAATAAAATTAATAATAATTATTGTAGAAGTGTAAAAAATGTGAAAAAAAAAAAATAAATATATACAATCACTCATAGTGACAAGCTTTACAACTTTCATGAAAGGGATATCTTTGAAATCCAACACTATAATTCATAAACCTTAAATTTATATTTAATCGTCGATTGTTATTTACGCTTTATTCTTCTTACAGAATTTCATTTTTAAAATTTCCTCTTTTGAAAACATGATCATCTGGCAGATGTAAGAAGATGAACGGTTCAGATCTTTGATATCATTTTTCGATATTTACAGTTAACTAACATATGAGTTGATATCATATAGTTTGTAGAAACTTTATAAACATCAAGCAATATTTTCACTAACTGTAAAAATTTGAATATAATATCAACGATCCAAACCGTTCATCTTCCTGCATCCTCTAATAGATCATGTTTTCAAAAAAGAAAATCTGAAAAAAAAAACAAAATTTGATGAGAACAATGAAGCGTAAATGTGAACAACAATTAACGGTTAAATTTTGATCTATGATTTATATGATTATAGTGACGAATTTTGAAGTTAAGCTCTTCATGAAAGTTGTGAAGATTGTCATTAAGAGCGTTTATATATTTTTTTTCTATATTTTTTACACTTCTACATTAATTAAAAAACTATTAAAGACTTTACTTAAATAACAGCTGTAAGATAAATGAGAGTAAATATGTACCATTGGATTCTATTTCACTTATATTATTAGAACTTTTTTGGATGAAAAAACCCCTTCTCTATTCTAATATTTTCCAGTTTTACCATTTGATCAAAACAAAAGCCCTAATCCCTTTCTCTCTCCCCACTCTCGTAACCCTTTCTCTCTATCCCACTGTCTGTTTTCCTAGCCCTTCTCTCCCGCCATATGTTCTGTGTCACAGCCCGTCCCAAACATATAATTTTCGACGATGTAAAATGACAGTTTTATCTTTGGACGGGAAATTTTAGTGTGTATGCGTGACATATTGAGATTTTGAGTTTATTGTGAGGTCTTGAGGATTGTGACCACGTGGACCACACACACACCACACTCACTCCCTCTCTTTTCCTTCCCGTGCCCTCGTCTCTCTCGGACTCACTCTCTCTCTCTTCTTCCTTGTACTGACCAATCTCGAAGTGGGCATTCCAATCGCAGATCGAAGATTCTAAGGGCACCATTGCATTCCTCGTGCCATTTCGAGTTGGTTGGTACCCATTTCAGGTAAGGATTCATTAGAAATCTCAAGAACCCGAGACTTATTTCTCATGCACTATTCATGTGGACGTAAAACATTGTGTTTCAGAAGATTTCAAGCTCATAGGGAGCTTTAGGAGGTCCTAAGGAAGCTCGGGATAGTTCGTTGGAAGAGTTTGGACGTCGGAGGGCCGAGATCGAAGGTTTTCAAAGTTGGCCAGATTATCGAGCTTCCTCAGGTAAAATCTAGTAGAATTCAAGGCTTATAAATGGTATAACATGATTCTACATGTTATTAGCTTCATTTTGGTACCAATTTCATGAAAAATGGTTGAGAAACGAGTGAGAATAGTGGGTTTGAAGTTTTACCCAGTTTCCTGACGACCAGCGACTAGCCGGAGAATATGATGGCATATTCCGTCAGTTTGGACAGAATATACTGACACCGTTAGTCAATTTTAACGGAATCTATTAGGTTTTAACGGA